CACACACACACACACACACACACACACACACACACACACACACACACGTAGGGGCTAAGTGGTTGATAACATTGGTTGCTTTTGTAGAAGACCCAGGATTCCCAGTACCCACATGGCAGCTCTTTAACTCTAATTTGGGGGGATGGGAATAGGCAGGAACTCCAGTTCTGGGATGGGGAATCTGATGCCATCTTCTGGTCTTCACAGGTAATAAACACACATGGTACACAGACATGCATGTAGGCAAAATACATCAAATAAAAATAAATCTTTAGGGGGAAAAAGAATCGGGAAGACCTATAACCTCAACTACTCAAGCTGATGTAGGATGATCACAGGTTCAAGGCCTGCCTGGGCAACTTAGTTAGCCCCTGTCTCAAAGAGTACAAATGTAAGCAGGTGTTAGGTAAGAAGAGCTGAAGCCTTTAGGGCAGTAGTTCTCAGCCTGTGACCTTTTCACAGAGGTCACTTAAGACCATGGGAAATATCAGATATTTAAACTACGACGCACAACAGTAGCAAAATTATAGTAATGAAGTAGCAACAAAAATAATTTTATGGTTGGGGGCCACCACAGTATGAGGAAGTGTATTAAAGGGTCACAGCATTAGGAAGGTTGAGAACCACTTACTGCCTTAGGGTATGTGCCGGGAGTGGAATATCTATCATGAGTAGCTCTGTTCCTTGCCTTTAAAATAAATAGTGATTTTATTATTTTTAACCATGGTGTGTGTTTGTCTGAGTGTAGGTTTGTACACGGTGCCATGCCCTGCAAGGCCAGAGCCATCATGTACGTCTGGGGTTGTGAGCCGCCTGATGTGGGTGCTGGGAACAGAACTCAGATCCTCCACAGGAGCAGTACACACTCATCCCCACGGAGCTGCCTTTTCAGCCCCTAGTTCCAGCTTTTTGTGGTATCTCTATGCTCCCACAGATAGCGAATAAGAACTCTGTTTCCCCACGTCCTCATCAGTACTTGCTGTCTTTTGTTTTCTTGAGGATGGTCATTCTGACTGGGATGAGATGGGCTCTCAAAGTAGTTGTAATTTGTATACTGGATTGTAATGACAGTCCTAGTCCAGTGGTAACACAGATGGCTTTTGATGTAAATAAATGGGTCACATAACAAAACTCAAAGTTATGAAACTGGAAAAGAGGCTGATAAGGAGAGAGGGTGATGTTAAGGATAAGAGAGAGGTAAGAGAGGGCAATGCGTTATAGACATGCTTGCAATTGTCAGAGAACAAACATGCTTAATATAGATGCTTTTATTTATTTGTTTTTCTGTGTATGGGTAATTGCCTGCAAGCACATGTGTGTTCCACATGTGTGCTCCACCTGTGTGCCTGGCGCCCTCAGAGGCTGGGAGAAGGCATCAATGTCCCTGAGACTGGAGTTATAGGCAGTTGTGAGCTGCTATGTAGGTGCTAAGAATCAAATCTAGATCCTCTGGAAGAGCAGCATGTACTCTTTTGAGCCATCTCTCCAGCTCAACAAACCTTTTTTTTTTTTTTTAATGAAAAGAAGATTGAGGATATGGGTAGAATACATGATTCCACCATCATGATTTCTACATTTTCTCTTTACTCCCTTCCGGCCTCCTAGGCACCCCTGGCCTGGATACTCTCTCAGACCCCTTCAGTTGGAGCTGGCTCCCTGGGCTGGATGGAGATCAGGATGCCTGGCCCCCAGGGGAGCTGGCCACCAAGCCCTCTGCCAGCCTCACCTCCAGTGTGCTAGTGAGAACCACCAAGGCTCCAGGGAAAGTGCCCAAGAGTGCTAAGAAGTGGGTGACCAAAAATGCAAAGAGACCAACCACTCAGCCTCCTGGGATGCCAGCCACTAAACGCTCCAGGGTCCCAGGCACCCCGACGCCACGAACTCTAACCCCACGTACCTCTGAATTACCGCAGAGACTGACTGCTGAGGCTCCTCTCAGGCAGACCTCACAGACCACTGTAAAGCTGACCCCTAGGAGCCCCTGGGAGTGGACCTCAGAGACTGTGTCATCACTCTCCACTCAAGGTCCCCAAGAAGTGACTGCTAAGGCCACCATCACGCAAATCCCTCAGGCCTCCTTGGAGCCATCTGGTGAGAACCCAGAAGGTTCTCTGGAATCGTCCCAAGATCCAGCCCCCTACCCAGCTGCTGGAGTCCCTGTGCCATCAGGTGAGTGGTAGAGGGTAAAAAGGGTGTGGACAGCAGTGAGGCTGCCGCCTTACGTCCTGACCAGAGGGCCTCCTGACCCACAGGTCCCTTCCGGGTTCGTCTGGCCGATGGGCCCAACAGGTGTGCTGGCCGGCTCGAGGTGTGGCATGCTGGATTCTGGGGCACAGTCTGTGATGACAGCTGGGACCTTCGGGATGCCACAGTGGCCTGCTGGGAACTGGGCTGCGGAAAGGTCCGGCCCCGAGTAGGCAAAACCCACTATGGCCCTGGGACCGGGCCCATCTGGTTAGATGACATGGGCTGCAAGGGAAGCGAGACCTCACTGAGCGACTGCCCCTCAGGGCCATGGGGGAAGCACAACTGTGACCATGAAGAAGATGTGGTGCTTACCTGCACTGGTACCGGGGAACAGCACGGGAGGTTGATGGGTAGACTTAGAGCGGGGCAGAGTGACAGTGTCAGCTAAGAAACCGGCCAGGGGGGTGGGGGCATTAAAGGGTTCCTGAAGGGGCTCCAGAAGGGAAGGGGAGCACAGTGGCAAGGACCTCCGCCACTGGGAAGGAACCGATATCTCTCCCCAGGCTACACAGATGATGATGATTATCCCTCCTGGACCTGGGACCCTACTTCAGGAGAGGACCTGATCAAAGGGACCACTATGGTAGCCCGGCCTGGATATGCTCTTTCCCGGGCTACCACTAGGAACCCTGAAGTTCTCTCTCCAGCAACACAGAGCCTTCCTGACACAGGTGAGGCTTGACCAGGTATGTGTGTGTGTGTGTGTGTGGATGCGTATGCCACGCATGTGTGTTGAGGTCAGAGGATAACTTGTGGAACACTTCCTTCACCTAGTGGGTTCCAGGAACCAAACTCAAGTTGTTATACTTGGCAGCAAGCACCTTTGCCCGCTGAGTCATGTTGGCCACCCTGTTTGTTTGTTTGTTTGTTTGTTTGTTTATTTATTTATTTATTTATTTTGTGTGTGTGATGACATATCATGTATCTCGGATTGGCCTTGAACTTGTTTTGTAGCTGAGGTTTGCCTTGAACTTGTCTTCCCCTCCCAGTGTTGGCGTTACAGATGTGTGCCACTATGGTCAAGTTGGCCTAGGCTGCAGGCTATTCTAACTGTGTTCCATCCTTGGGCTTGACAGTATTAATTTTCTCTAGAGTAGAATGGGACAGCACGTGGCTTGGCGGTCAGAGGGCATTAGCAAGTCCAGAGCCTACCAAAGAGAGCAGGCTGCTGTGACACAGCGGCCTGAGCCTCTCTCCAGAACATCTGTGGAAGTGGCCCAGCAGTGCCCTCAGCTCAGGGTCAGCACATGGAGCTTCAGTAAGCACATGGCTCTATCCCAGCTACCAGGAAGGTGAGGGGCGTCTTACCCAGCGTGGCAGTCTGTAGCTCAGACATAGGCAGGGCCCCCTGGGAACTCCTGCCCTTCCCAGTGCTACCCAGCAGGGTCAGTGTCTTACACTGCAGCTCTCTGTCCTTCTACTACGTCATGGCTTCTGGTGGGCTGTTTTCTGTGTTCTTTCATCTCTGCTGCCAACCCAGGAATCTGCCCAGCCTGGGCCCTGAGTGGCCCCCTGTGTGTTCTCTTGGCTCTCTCCTCATCGGCACTTCCTGTGCTGCCCGTGGACTTCCTGTGCTGCCCGTGGATGCTCCTCTCTCCTGCACACACTGTGGCCCACACCCTCTTCCTTATCAACCTTTGCACTTTATCATCTACATTTGTTTTTGTTTTTTTACTCCATTTTTTTTTTTTTCCCTTCTGGTGTCTTTCTCCCATTGGATTCATTTTCACTCTCCTCCTCTTCCTCATCCCCTGGTTTTCCCCTATCCAGTGTTCTTTCGAAGTTTTCTTTGAAAATTCTATATTCCTTCTACTCCTTTTAAGTTTTTTAAGTTCTTATTTTATGTGTGTGGGTGTTTTGTCTGTGCACCATGTACATACAGCTCCCACAGGCCAGAACAGGCCAACAGAGCCCCTGGAGCTGCAGTGACAGACAGTTGTGAGCTTCCTTGTGGGTGCTGGGAATTGATCCTGGGTCTTCTGGGAGAGCAGCCAGTGCTCTTAACCTCTGAGCCATCTTTGCAGCCCCAGTGTCTTCCTTTTAATTCACCATCTAACCCTATTTTTCACTAGTTTGTTTTCCCTTCCTTCTTTTTCTTTTGTTGGACCAGCTGGCCAAGGATTCCCGGCCTCCCTGACTTCAGCTCCCTCACCCAGGGATCGCTGGCATGGCCCACCTTGCTCAGCGCTCACTTTATTTCATGTCACCTCCTCTCCTCTTGCCTTCCTGGGTTTTCCCCTTCATTGTCCTCCTCACAGCCTCAGCTTTTATCTCTTGCCTTCTGTAGCTTTCTCCTTTTTCTTTCTTATCTCTTTGTTTCATTGATTGATTATGCGTCTGTGTGCATGTTTGTGTATGTTTATGCCCACGGGCCACAGTGTGTGTGTGTGTGTGTGTGTGTGTGTGTGTGTGTGTGTGGTAAGTCAGAGGGCAACTGGGGGGGTCAGGCCTCTCCTCATCTCCTACCATGTGGGTTCCAGGTATATACCACAATTGTCAGGCTTGGTGGTACGCCTCTTTACCTCCTGAGCCATCTCATCTGCCCACCTCTAGCTGCATGTCCTCTGCATGTCCTTCCCTCCCTTCTTTCTCTTCCTCTCTTCTCCTTTCTTTTCCTCTCTATTACTCTTCTCCTCCCACCTTTTTGATATGCCCTTCTATAGCCCAGGCTAGAATTCACTATGTAGCTGAGGCTGGCCTTGAGTCTCTGTCTTCATCCCCAAAATGATGGGATTACAGGCACAGGGCACCACACAGACCCTAACTTCTTTTTTGTCAGTATTAACCAAATAAACACACCTTCTGTTTATTTTCTTCCACTAGCCTCCATCCTTTCTTTCTCGCTCTCTCCTTGTGTCTCATGGCCCTCACTTCAGTGAGAGGGCTGACACTATTTCTGCCCTGCCCCTACCTTTTGTACCATTGTTTCTTTGTCTTCTCCCTCATTACATTCTCTCCTCACTCTCTCCTTGTGTCTTCCTACCTGTTACTGCTGGAAGGATCAGCCTGCATCCTCTCTGGAGCCCAGCATGCACAGTCAAGCCTGGCTGGGTAGGTGCCTGTGCTTCATTACATCACGGGGGTGTTGCACATTTTGATTGGGCACCAGGATCCAGCCTTGCCACCACAGAGTTGAGCAAAAGAGCAGTCTCAGACTTAGACCTTAGAGAGTCTCAAGCTGGTATGAGGGTTAATCATTCCGATGCTGGAACCAGAAATGATCCCTTAGAGACCTTACTCCTTGTTCTGGTGAAGCCAGAGTTGTAGAACCTTTGTTCTGTGCAACCAGGGTGGCTTATCTTTTGGAAGCCCCCCCTTGAGGTGGAATTGATCACATGGCTAGGTAGCGGCCACTGCAGAGACCCCTAGTCCTGAGGCAAGGGGATCCTTTTCAGGGAAAAATAAACACAGGATTACAAACTGCACAAGCAAACTCATGGGACAGTTACATGTAACAGGGCTTAAGGAGAAGGTATAGGGTGTGTGACAAGAATGGGACTCTGTTTTCAACAGTTTATGTGTGTCTTACGTGTGTGTGTGTGTGCTGTGTAAGTATGTATGTGTGTATGTCAGTGTATGGTGTGTATAGAAGTATAAATTATGGATGTGCATGCTTGTGTATGTCCCTGCAATGTATGAAGGCCAGAGGACAGTTCTGCATCCTTCCCCAGGCACTATCTAAATTTTATTTTTATGAGACAGGATGTCTCAGTGGCCTGGAGTTCACCAGTGAGGCTAGGCTGGTGGCCTGTAACCTGGGAGACCCTCCTGTCTCTGCCTCCCCAGCACTGGGATTACAAGAGGAGCCAGCATACCCAGCTGTTTATTTTCTTTAAACGTGCGCTGTGGGGCTCACACTCCATTCATGTGCTTGTAAAGCAAGTACTTTGCCAATTGCGCTAGATATCTCCCAGATAGTGTTTGTTTGTTCTTGAGACGGTAGCCTAAGCTGGCTTGGAAACCACTGTGTAGTCCAAGCCCCGAACTCTCAGTGGTAGATTACAGGCATGCACCATTGTGTTAACCTGATGTCATGCCTTTCACTCAGAGGATTGGGGTGATATGTGTTGTCATTCAAAGCACAAGCCTGGGGCCTGACTCACTCAGTCCACTCCAGGCTAGACTCCACCAGGACTGGAGTGAGTAGTGTGACCCATGTCCCAGTCCAATGTACAGAATGCTGTGGAATCCCCTAGAGCAGAAAGCACTGATGTAGAGGGCTTTACTAAAGCAGCCCATGGGTTCAGGGTCCCAGCACTGAAATGATTATTTATAGCAGAGGAATCAAGAAAAGCCTCGTGGACGTGTGATACTGTCAGCAGCAGAGGAGAGCAGGAAGGAAGTGGGTTTTGAATGAATTCGCTGTGCGCCATGGCGCACGTGTGGAGGTCAGAGGACAGCTTCTGTGAGTTGCTTCTCTACTTCCACCATTTGGGTTTTGGGAATCCAGCTCAGGTTATCAGAATATGGGGTGAGCCTTATACCATTGAGCCACTTCACCAGCCCCAGGAAGGGAATTCTCAAAGGACCAAAGGCCTTTGGGAGAAAACTTGCATAGTCACAGGGCTAGGAATTTTTTTTTTTTTTTTAGGATTTATTTTATGGTTTGCACTTGGTGGCACACGCCTTTAATCCCAGCACTACAGAGGCAGAGGCAGGCGGATCTCTCTGAGTTTGAAGGTAATTTGGTCAAATAGCAAGTTTCAGAGTAACCAGAGCTACATACAGAGACACACACGTGTACACACACACACACACACACACACACACACACTCACACTCACACTCACACACAGGTAAATGCAGTGCTCAGCCAGACCAGAAAAGGACTTCAGATCTGAAGCTGGAGTTACAGGCAGTTGTGAGCCACCTGAAGTGTATGTATATTGGGAACCCAGTAGATGTTCGGAACCACTAAGCCATCTCTCCCACCCCAGCAAGGGTAGGCTTTAATCTCTAAGAAGTACCCACATGGATCTTTCTGGCTGTTAGAGGATCACCACAGAGCTAGTGGCTTAAACAGCACATGCTCTTTTTTTTTAATTTTTTAATTTTTTTTATCTTCTTTTGGCCAGAGTGCACAGATCATGCAAATCTAAGGTCAGGGCACTGGCAGGGCTGGTTCCTGTGGGAGAATCTGCCCTCTTGGCTTGTCCCACTAGAGCCCCTTTCTTCTTCAAAGCCAGCAGTGTTACCCTCTTCACTCTTAGCTATGTCTTACCCCCTCACTTCAGCCTGGAGAGGTTTCTGTATTCTAAGTATTTCTATGATTTGGGAATTTGGTTTTTCTTTTTATTATTTATATTTATCCATTTATTTTGTTTTTTTTTAAACATTTATTTGTGTGTATGTGTGTGTGTGTGTGTGTGTGTGTGTGTGTGTGTGTGTGTGTTAGAGCTCAAAGGAAAAAAAAATAAACTATTTGGGACAGCATGATAGTCCAATAGGTAAGGATGCTTGCTGACAAACCTGATAGCCACAGTTCAGTCCTTGGAACACACCTAAGGGAGAGAACCAACCCCTGAAAGTTGTCCTCTGACATCCACACATGTGCTGGGGCATGCATGTGCATTCACATATGCACAAATAAATCAATAAAATTAATTTAAAATGTAAAGGGATCTCAGAATTCAAGGACAGCCTGAGCCAAAGCCAGTCTGGGCTACCTGAGACCCTGTTTCAAAAAATACAGTTGTTGAGCTAGGTGTGGTGGTGCATATCTTTAGCCCTAGCACTTGGGAGGCAGGCAGATCTATCTGAGTTCAAGACCAGCCTGGTCTACAGAGTTCCAGGACAGCCAGGGCTGTTAAACAGAGAAACCCTATCTCGAAAAACCAACAAAACAGATGTTCCAATGGATGCATTGCATATGTTCACGTTATGAGATACCTTCTTCAGTTTCTGCTTTTAGTAGAGAGCATCCAGACTGGTGGCCACGGTGACATCGGTTGTAGAGAAGGCTCAGTGATGGGTTTAATGAGCCAGTGGGATGAAGGTAGAAGGAAAGACTCAACTCTGTTCTTTACACATCTGCAGATTACTGGGGTAGTTATGAGGTCCCCTGGACATGGGATACACCTGCAGGAAGGGGCCTGTCCAAAGGGACCCCCGCCACAACCAAACCTGGACCCACAGTTACCACTAGCGCCAGCAAGAGTCCAAGCCATCCCTTTCCAGCTCCAAGGCCGCGCATAGACACAGGTGAGGCATGGGTAAAGCAGAAGCCTGGGGAGTATTTGTTGTGGGGTGCAGAGATGGGCTCCAGGTTCCCAGGGGTACCCCAAGTCTTACCTCAGAAAGACCCAACAGAGGGATGGCCTCAAACTCATAGAGGTCCATCTGCATCTGCCTCCTGAGTGCTGGGATTAAAGACGTGCACTGACTAGCTCACTTCTTATTCAATCGAGAACCCCAAGCCATGGGATAGTTAAGGTGGTTCTTTCCTCCTCAGTAAAGTCTCTCTGGAAACACCTACACAGACATGTCCAGAGTTGTGTCCTCTAGATAATTCCAAACCCAGTCAAGTTGACAGTGAAGAGCCTCTCTTTGGGAATTTCCTAGGATTCTTCTCGTGTTTCTATGTCCCAGAGTCTGTCCATTTTTCTAGTCCTGGGATTCATGCTCGCACTCTCCATTACCCTCCAGAATTCCTCTGCACTTGTTCTATTTATGTATTTTACCCCAGAGACCACCAGGTGGCAGCAGGAACCTCACAAGAGGAGGGGGGCACTAGGGCCTGGTGAATGAAGTCTGCCGGGTGACCCATGATATCATGAAGATCTTTGCCTTCCCATTGGTCATCTCCTCAAGGGGTGTTGTGGGACATGGTGGGTAGGTCGCACTGACCTCAGACCGATCTGGCCCCCTCTTGTCCTCCTCCAGGTTTCCCAAGGAAGCCAAAATTTGAGCGCCGGCTGCTGCAACCCACCCCAGCGAGGACAGCATCCAGCACCTCATCTCCAGCTTCCTCCACCTCACCAGAGCGTTCTGACTCACAGATGACCTCTGGCTCCTGGGCACAGCCCATCCCTGACTTGCCTTCAAAACAGGAGGGGACTACTGGCGCTCCCAAAACATCTTCACTCACTCCAGGACTTTCTTCCCTGACAACCTCTGACTTTGCCATGCTCACTCCTGATGCTAGTTTGCTTCCAACTAGTACCCCAGAGCGTTCACACAGACCAACATCCACCTCCCCTAAAGGGCTAACCCCTGACTCCTCTGTGTTATCGGAAGTGACCACTGGCCTTCCCCCTACCTCAGAGCCGATCCCAGGATCTGAAACAATCCCAGGCTTGGGCACAACACCCAAAATAGTCCCAGAGAGTTCTGGATCCTCAGATTCCCCCATGAACCCCAGAACCCCCACACAACCATTCACAGCCTCTCAGCTCAGTAGTAGCCCTCATGCTACCACCCCCTCTCACCCCATCACCACCCCTCGCCCCACCACCAACCCTCAACTCACCACAACTTCTCACCCCACCATGGCCCCTCGGCCTACCACAAACCCTCAGCGTCCCAAGACCCCTCATCCCACCACAACTCCTGAACCTCCTGAACCTTCCACCAACACTCACCCTTCTTCAACCCGTGCCACCCCTACAAAGTCCCTTCCATCCTCTCTGGAGACAGAATTTCCCTCTCCCACAGCACAGCCAAGGGTCAAGCCTAGCCTACAACCGGAGCTCAGCTTTGTGGGAGTCCTTCCCCCAACCACACCCCAGATGCAGGACCTAGAGGCCTCCCTAGCCCCGGAGTATGACTCCTCCAGGCTTTCTCCAGCCATAAGCATAGACCCACTATCCACTGAGGTCTTCAAGCCACCCAGCAGCCAGACTGTATACTCAGCTTCTTACACCCACTCAGACCTTACACCTGTTGCTACCTCTGATCTTCACCTCTCCTCTGTTGCCCATGCATCAGACCAACCTCCCCCTGAACACCTCACTCAAGGGCCAACCCCTAATCACAAGCCAGGTCCCCTTGGGCCATGCATGTCCCCAGTTCCACCTGTAAGGGTCATGGCTTGTGAGCCACCTGCCTTGGTGGAGCTGGTGGCTGCTGTGAGGGAGGTGGGTGACCAGCTGCGGAGGCTGACTCTGGTCCTGGAGCAGGACCGGCAGGAGCGCCAAGTCCTGAGGCTGGGCCTGGTCCAGTTGGCAGAGGCTGCCCAGGGCTTGGGGCAGCTGAGTGAGACTGTAAAGAGGCTAGCAGATGTGGCCTGGCCCCCCAGCACACCTGTGCCGTCCACTACTACCACAGAGGAGGAGGAGAGGCCTCTGAGGGGAGATGTGTAACCCATTCTGAAATTTGGCGTGCTTAAGGTAGTCTCAAACAAAAGAAACCAATATCTGTAATCAGAGTGTAGGTGTTGTTACTGCGGAAGCAGGGGGACCCTGGAGGGACAGAATCACCAAGGTGAGGATGAAGTTAATCCTAACTGTCCATACCACATGTGATGCCGTGGTGCTGAACATGAAGGCAGGAATGGTATTGCCTGGTGATGGTGACGGTAATGACGGGGTGATGGTGGTGTCGGCAGTGGTGACAGTGGGCCAGTGACACGATGGTGCTTTTGATGGTGGTCCTGGCGATGATGGTGCTGGTGATGATCGTGATAAGGTCATGAGATCATAGCGTGGGTGGTGATCGTGTGGATAGGGATAATGGTGGGAGCATGAGAAGATGGTGCTTTTGGTGATGGTCATCCTGAGGCAATGGTGGTTTATGGTCATGGTGATGACTGTGGGAAAGGGTGACGGTGAGGGCGAGGTGCTGTTGGTGGCAGGGAGTGTGATGACAAAGATGGAGCGGTGGTGTTGCTTGTCTAATGGTGGAGATGGTGACTGCGTTGATGGTGATGACGGTGTTACTTGTGAAGGTTGGAACAATGGGGATGACGGTGAAGGTAATCGTGTGGGACTGTGGGAATGGTGCTGGTAAGAGTGATGATGAGACTCATGATGGCGGCGGTGACGGTGATAATGGTGATTACGAAGTGTTAGTGGTGAAGGCAGTGAGTGGAATGACAGTAGTAATAGGGTGGTGGTGGTGGCAAATGAAGAAGAGGTGATGGTGGTAGTGGTGGACACTGAGGTCACGGCAGTGCTGGTGATGATGTTGATCATGCTACTGGTGATCACGATGACAGTCCTGACTGTCCGTGTGGGCAGGAAGCTGTCTTAGCCATGCTGTGCCCAGCTTTAAGGACAAAGCGCACAGTCCATAAGTACTACTGGGCGGGACAGCATCACTGTCACGGGGCTAGCGCTTACGGAGTGCACCTGGGGCAGACTTTGCAGTGGCTCTCACCCGTTCTGGCGCTGCAAGCCTTTAATACAGCTCCTCATGTTGTGCCCCCCCCCCCACGTAGCTACTTCATTTCCACTTCATAACTGTAATTTTGCAGCCATTACGAATCCTAACGTAAGTGGATGGTCCTAGGGGACCCCTTCGAAAGGCCACCCTGAGGGGTCATGACCCACAGGTTGAGAACCACTGGCGTAGAGGCTCCGCAGCAGAATGTCATTTCATGTCTGCTGACACTGGCTGAAAAGAGTACTGTTACCAGAGTTCAGCCGATGAGGAAATGCGCTGTCAGCTGGGATGCCGGGGTGGGGCCCTGATAGCCGTGACCCGGCTTCCGAGCCTCTCCGTCTCCGTTCCCCACCTAGAAACGGGGATAATAATAGCGTATGCCTCATGGGCATTCGGAGAGATGTTTTTCTGATTGTGTACAGGGCCTGAGCACCCTGAGATGAGAGTGACTGTTCCATTTTGTGCCCCAGTCCATGCAGCAGCCTTGATTGGCAACCCAAGAGCTCCAGATCCTGTTGAGAGAAGGTTTTGTGCATGTAGCCGAGTCTGGCATTTCATCGGTGTGTTGTGGATTCCCGTGAGTTCTGATCCTCTTGCCTCCTGAGTGCTAGGACTGAAGATGTCTAGTATCACACCTGGGCCTTTGCACACTGAGGGTTGAAGCTTCATGCATGCTGGGCGATCATTCTACCAACTGCTGTTCCCAGCTCAGGGTCCTTGCTCTTCAGATACTGTTGTGTGGCCATACCGGAACTAATGGACTCAAGTCTAGGCATGGCCATGTGCAGCCTGTATATCTCTGGAATTTTTGTTCCTTTCTCAGAGCCTCGGTTTTCTCCTCTCTACAATGGGACTCTTAATCATACCAAGCTCATAGGATGAGGATTACCAAAGAGTTAGTTCATGTACGGACAGAGATGGTACATGCTCACTTACCAAGAGTGAGTCCAGGGCTGGTGGGATGGCTCAGTGAGTAGACACTTGCTGCATACCTTGATGATGTCAGTTTGATTCCCAGAACCTAAATAATGGAAGGAGAGAACCAATTCCCATAAATTGTCCTCAAACCTCCATTGTGCCCTACATAAAGTTAATGAAGCGATGGCAAAATTTAAGGAATGAGTGATTCCAGACACACCTAACTATGCCTCTCTCTAACAACATATGAACTCTTGAAGGGTGTGTGTGTGTGTGTGTGTGTGTGTGTGTGTGTGTATGAGAGAGAGAAAGAGACAGACAGACCCAGACAGACACAGAAACAGACACAGAGTCATGTAGCCCAAACTGAGGTTTGAACTCCAGATCCCCTCTCCCTCTATCTCCTGAGTACTGGGGATCCAAGCATACACCACCTGAAAACTACCACCCATCCACACCACAGCCCTTCGAGGGAGGAACCTTGATCTGCATTGCAGGAAGCACCCCGGGCCATCTAGCTCCGTCATCAAATCCACAGAGCTGGAAGCCAATCCCGGACATATCCCTGCTTTGACCTCATCCTGGGGTTCAGGATTAGGACTTTCATGACTCCCCTTCTTAGTGACCTGAGCAGGTGCCTTCTACCTCTGCACCTCCCCTTACTGGTCTGTAAACCGAGGACCAGCTTGGAAGACATCCCTCACCCCCGCACTCCTGCAATCCTGGCCGGGAAACCAGTCCCTTCTCCTTCCAGATCACAACTCAGAGGTCACAGAAGGTGGTAGAGCCTGGTGCCCCTGCACTCCTGCAAAGGCCAGCAGGGTCCAATTACTAGTTTGGGCACAGAGTAGGATAATGTCCGAGGGTCTTGATAGATGGGCACTCTGATCTTGCCAGCAGGCAAAGGCACATGCAGAGGACTCTTTGGTCACAGATCTTATTAAGCCAAAGACTTAAATAACTGCTGACAGCTAACCTTCCGTGGGGCTTCTGCTTCCTTCTCCTTCCTGTCCTGGTGCATTGGGGTGTCATAGAGCGGTACAGTCATCTTGGAAGAAACAGTCATCTCTATCCCGGGGTGGGATCAGGTAGACTCTAGCTGTGCCAGAGAGCCCAGCTTCGGGTGCAGCCTTTGGCTTCTCTGCAAGGCGGAGGTGTGTGGGTGCATGATGGGTGTTCTAGCTCAAGGTCTCTCCACCCCCGGCTACCTTCTGCCAGCCCCAAACAAGTGGGTACCTAATTACTCAGCCATTCTATCCCTGTTTTGGCTGGGCAGCTAAGCCCAAACATCTGGCTCCAAGGCCCACAGCCAGAATGGGTAGCCAACCCCACCCGCTGCTGGCCCTGACCCTTAGGACACCTCCCTTAGGACAGCTGAGCTCCGTATTTGTGTGCCAGTTTTCAACAAGCCCAGAACAGTAGCTGCTAGGACTAGCAAGCTCAACTAGTGCAGATAAACTACAAATTTGAACTCCGTTAAACACAGCCCAAAACACCTCAAAACACACACCACACACACACATCAAAAAATACACCACACAGGTGGGCACGACGGTGCACTCCTGTAATCCCAGCACTCTGGGAGGCAGAGGCAGGGGGATCTCTGTGAGTGTGAGGCCAGTCTGGTCTACAGAGTGAGTCCATATAGCTAACTACACAGAAAAACCCTGTGTCGAAAAACAAAAACAAACAAACAAATTACTACACTGTTGTTGATTATTAATATTTATTATTGATTTAGCTTTTAGTTAAGCAGCAGTTATTCCTAAACCAGCTGTATACCCAAATCACCACACAGAGACTAGGATTTATTTAATTAACCTAGAGCACAATGCTGGGCAGTAGTTATTCTATCCGAAATCTCCAAGGCTGCATAGTTTCCTCCCATTCAGATTTCCCACGTTATACTTGTTTTTTTTTTTTTTTTTCATATCTTAGGTTCAGTTCATCTCTCCTGCTGTTTCCAGGTTCTCTGCACCCCAGATATCTCTTCCCAATTCCTCCCACTGCCCTCTTTCTACTCCTCTCTGGACCAGAATGTCCCACCCTGTTCTTTCCATTGCTCAGCATTGGCTGGTTGTTTTATTGACAATACAGAGAAGAAATGGTGGCATGTTTACACAAACTTGAGACAGGTGATGATTAAAATAAACATCACAATCAGTGTCCTGATTGAAACCAGAGAGTGTGGCAGAGAAATCAACATGTGAATGAACAAGGGTAAACTGTATACATTCCACAAGAACATTATACCAACACTACACATATACACATACATCAAAACATACCACCTACACATCAAAACATACATCCTACACATATCAAAATATTTACCACACACGCACACACCCAGAACAGGTGCAAAGACACTATCTTCAGATAGAGCAAGATGTTTATCTGTCATCCACCTGGGATATGACTGTTGCCTGAGAAAACGCTAAAGAGTGAGTGGATAAATTGTGGTGCTAGGAAGCCCATCCAGAACGCTGGGTCTGTATTGCAACATCACACCCTGAAATATAGCAAGAGGATAGTGGCAAACACACCCCCAAGACCTGTCAAATAAAAGCTGCATCTTAGCACCTCTAGTTAATGCAGGCTTTGGCTTTTTAAAACCTACTTTATTTGTGGTTCCTTATGCCTCTTTCTCTCTTCTCAACCCCAGTCCCTTCTGACACTCCAACACCAGGTAAGAGAAAAAGAAAGTTAGTGGGAGAGGGAATGCAGTTATTTTTAGCTACTTCCTGATGGTTAGGGTCCTTGGGTTCCTAACCGCCTCTACCTCCTTTCAAACCCACCGACTTTAGGTAGGAGAGAAGGAAGGTAAATAGGGACAGGGGATGTGGTCCTTTTTAGGAAGTATTTCCTTGGGGCAATTCTACTCTTTGTCGGCAGGATACCAACTGTTCAGGCAAACAGCAAACCAGCAATCCAGCAATAGCAAAAGCAGCAACAAGGTGTAGCAGCAGCAGCAGCAGGAAAAGTTCTCTGGAGCTTTTCTTCTAGGAGTGAAGCAAAGCGATGTGAAGCTAAGTGAAGTGTAGCATTTTCTCTCTGTGTCTGTGGGCTCCTATTTATAGCTTCTTAAAGTCCACAGAAGGATGTTTTTCAGCTGGCTACCCCAGCACCCCCAACACGAGACAGTTTCCTGTTGATAGGGATCATGAGACCTCCCACTGTTTATCAGCTGACAAAGATTACATGCCTCTCACGAGGCTCTCACCAGCTATGGACAAAGTATTCCTTCATCCTGCACTTGAGACTACAACAAAAAAATATCCACAACACAAACAAAACTTCCACTACAAGTTAAAATTTGTTACCTGGGGCTGCGGGATGTGGCTCAGTTGGTGGAGCACAAGGCCCTGGGTTCCATTCACAGAGCCACAGAAACTGGGTATAGTGGCGTATGCCTGCAACCTAAGCACTAGGGAGGTGAAGGCAGGAGGATAAAGAGTTGAAGGTCATCCTTGGTTACCTAGAAAGTTTGAAGTCAGCCTGGCCTACAGGAGACTGTCTTAGAAGACAAACACATAAAACAACAAAAGCTTACCAATGAGAGGGCCACTGGGCTTTTTGTCTGTCTGCACTAGGCTCTTGGCTGTGAGTCTTGACCCTCTTCCTGTTAGAGGCATGGGCAGTGGTGGACAGTTGCTATTAAAAAAAGAAAAGAAAAGAAAATTACTGGTAGGTGACACACATCTTTAATTCTGGCACTTGTGAGTCAGAACCAAGTGGATCTCTGTGAGTTTGAGGCCAGCTAGGGCTACATAGTAAGACCTTATCGCAAAGGAAGGAAGGAAGGAAGGGAGGGAAGGAGGGAGGGAGGGAGGGAGGGAGGAAGGAAGGGAGGAAGGAAAAGAAAAGAACAGAATAAGAAAGCCTAGCCTTGAACGCACAGCTTGTGTATGGGTGTTTTGCCTCCATGTATGTCTGTATTCTGTGAGTGTACCTGGTGGCCAAGAGAGGCCAGAAGAAGGAAGACATCAGATCCCCTGGACCAGGAGTTATGGGTGATTGTGAGCTGCCACGTGGGTGCTGGGAACTGAACCCTGGTCCTTTGCAAGATCAGGAACTTCTCTCATGTGCGGGGCCACTTCTCCAGCCCCTGGCTGTGAGTGCCTGAAGATAACCAAAGTGCTCATGGGAATCTAACCTAAGAGCACACCATGCCACACCAGCCCTGAAATGGACTTCCATGGCCCTCAGCTGCCCAGGCCTTAGCTCCTGCCTCACTGGCTCCCTTCTGACTGTGGAGGTGTGTTCTGGAGATTTCCCCGTGAGTGCACTACCACCTGTGGTCCCCACAATGTGGCTTTGATGGTTCCAGGTGCCTCTGTGACACTCAGGATGTGTGCCGCTCCTCTACCATGACCTGATAGTGCCTCAAACACAGCAGTCACCTTGTGTTCATGGGTTGTTTTGTCTGATGTTTGCATTGTCTCCACTCTCTGGGTAACATTGCTGTGAACACGTGTGCATGTACCTGAGCACTCGTGGGTATGTGTGGAATCCAGGAGTCAAGGTCAGGTGTCTTCTTCAAATTGTTCTCCACAACCAAGTTCATGTCAGAGACTGTCTCGTCTCCCTCTACTAGGAGACCCACATGGAGACTGAGCTGTCTGAGCAGGTGGTGTAGGTCCTCTCTATGTATGGTCTTTGGTTTGTAAGAAGCTGAATTTCTTCGGCCATGCCCTTCCCATTCTCCTCTTGCACAGCCTCCCCTTCTGCTGGGACCTTTCTTCCCAGCTGCTGTGCTTCCTTTCACACCTCTTCCACTTCCCACGAGTTTAACTGTGGGTTCTTGCAACACTGAAGTGCCCGAGCCCGCCAGCAGAGTGGAATAGTTCTTGAGTCGGGAGGGAGGATTAAAATTAATAAACTAACACACGCTGCATGGGGCCTTTCCGAGAGGCTCTAGCAGAGACTAGACGCCTGGCTTTATTTTAGACTGCTTTTAAGCTAGAGTAAAAGCAGCTCAGCACAATGAGTTAAATTCACAAGGAGGTGAAACAAGGGCTGTGATTTAGACAAGGTATCCCACCTGCTGTTTCAAACAAAAGGAGAATGACTTGGACATTCTTCACTGACTCCAGGGAAGGCCTGGTAAAAGCAGTCTTTCCCCTGAGATTTAAAGCAGCTGGTAGAACAGCCGCTCCTAACACTGAAGGAAACGACGCTTCCCCTTCCCTGCCTTCCACAACTACCACTAGACAAGCGGGCTCCCCGCCTCTCCTTCCGCTGCACGCCGCTGCCGCCAACCTTGGCTGCTCGGCCAGCACAGCCACGCAGCTGGAAGCGCGGTCCCCGCCCGCGCTCACACTCTCTCTTCTTCTTCCCTGAGCAGGGTGCTCTAGATGGCCAGCTGAGGGCTGAGCTCACACCCTCGCTCTCGGCCCTGCACCGGTCGGGTTTCTCTGTTAAACTACTGCCCAGGGCATATGCTCACCCCCACCTCACCCTCACACACGCCCAGTTCATGTTCACACACACCCAGGCTCCTGCACACAGTGAACACTCTTTCGTGAACAGATCTCCCACAGTCTTGGCCCTCGCACGCTCAGGCCCACTCCTGCAAACATGAGCGGTCTCTTCACTCCCACCCACACTTCCTATTTGCACTGATTTTCACACCACGTGGCTCACTCTTGTACATAGGCACACTCACGTTCACTCCCATCTCACAGCCAACCACGCTGATGATCACGA